TCGCTTGATTTCAACCGTTGATTGAATTTCTTGCCTGTTTCCTACTATTCGTCTGTTAGGTTGGTAAACTGAACTGCTACCAAGCTTGAGTTCTTTTTGTCCGTGGTTAAATAAGTTAGTCACTGACCGCTGATCGCTGACCTCCTTCTTTATCGACAAACGCGAGAAAGCAAGTAGTTGAAGGCCAGGTACTGTCTAGAATGGTTACTGAATGTAGTTGTCTGGATGGAAAAGGGTAACCAGTTGAGTCAACTCACGATAGCTGATTTGTTAAACAGGATACCCATGGTGAAGTGAATACTTTCCGAGGAAACTGTGTTGAAATACGAGAATGCTTTCTACTTCAATCTCCTTTGGGGGAAGCAGCCGCTTACCAGCCATTGCCTGAAAGATTTCAGACATGCAGAAGGGTTAATTCCTTCTTCATAGAATGCATCACCGATTTGAACATCCTGGTTGAAGAGGAAAACGTCGTATGCCAGACGGGCATTTTGACTAAGAATTCACCACTTGAGATGTCGCAGAAAGACAGTCTTGTGAAGATTCGACAGACAGTTCGTTTATGCAACCAAGCCAGATTAGGTCTGTCAGATATAGCCAAAGATGACTAACATTTAATGTGCGCTGAGAAAGTAGTGGTAACACGTTCACCTCGCATATCAGATGTCCGGAGTTCAAACCCTGACAGTTCCAAGGCTATGCGCTGATGATGAGCTTGTTCAGTGTTTCACCCCTTAGTGTGGACTCACCTAACTAGTAGCGCCAGGACGGGAGATATTGATGTGAGAGCAAATTGTAGAAATCCTACAACCACTTCTGACAATGTTGGTTTTGTCAACGTAAGTAGGAAATAGAAATGTGCAGCAGTCAAGTGAATAAAGCTGACTTTCTGCAATATCATATAGAGGGACAGCAGTGAAAAGCAGTTTCCTCCGGAGGCTAATACATCCAAAAGCCTAGCTCTGTAGAGGGACCTGAAAGGGACTAGATAGGTCAGAGAACGGAGCGACTCTGCAACACGTCTTAATCTCCTACGAGAAGCATATTTTGAGAGTCTACAAAAACTCCTTCCGAAGGAGGTGCCAAGGGCTGCACAAAATGTGTGTCGTGTAGAAATTGTGCAGATTCTGATGGTATGATTAACTGGAATCGGTTTAGTTGTTACAGTGAGGAAACTACCATGATGGGAATTACGTTCGAGTATAGCGCCACAATACGACGAAATAAATCACGGTATCTGCGTTGAATCTAAGCTTCTTGGCTGATCTGGATTCACTAGTGTTCGGAATGGGTAAGCTAGAACAGGTTCCGTCCAAGTCATACAGGTTCTCTTCGATTCGGCTAAAAACGGAAGGCCTTTCTTTGCTAGCCCCATCCATCAATCTTATGTGGTGGACAGTGAACGGCTTGTTGAACTCCCGGTTTGATAAATCACTAATAAGCGTAACTTACTCAGAAGTTGTATTACTCTGCGGTGGCCTATCCAGGTGTCCAATCAATACGTATGAAAATGCATTCGTAAGTGACTGATTTCCGTTTCGCTTAAAAAAGATGAAAGGTAGACCGAGATTCGAGGGTCACGAGACGCAAATCTGGATACTACAGCATGAAGGGATGTATTGTGTGTCGGGCCCAACATTTTTAATCTTTTCGTTAAATGCTGCTTTGAATATGTCTCAATTCGCCCAACTAAGTTACACTGTAAACAGAAGCATTTTACTTCCCTACCAGTGTTATTTATTCATTATTTGCCCAACCGGTGATAATAGAGGCCTATTCTTTTCCGAAGAGATCCCCTCAAGTGCTTTACCAAATTCCACAAAATCGGAGACATGGCACAGAAGTATCAGCCGTAAACGAACCCTCATCCAACTCAAGTCTACTCACCCGTGGTTAGTCATTTCTTTTATATACAAGCCCGATACTTATCTCAGTTTGTACCTCTGTCAAGATGGTTGGCACAAGCTCAAGTGTACCTTTTAATGCACCTGACTCACGCATGGTCTCGGTAATTACTGACGTTTCAAGCACGACCCCACCTCACCTTGCCACGTGCAGAGCAGTTTACACCCCCAACCCAAAAGTAAACTGGCCGAGGCCGATTGTCAACCTTGTGTGTTGTGAACAAATGCATGACTATTTTATGATGGCCCATAAGTGCAACTGTCTGGACAAAGAACCTACTCACTGCCTCATTTCTTGGCTCCAAGACAGTTGGGTTTGAAGAATGTATGGTGTGGGTGGCAGTGATGTTGACCAATTACCGGTTACCAGCTTACTCACTGATGCCTAACCGTACAAGTTCATTGTTTCCAGGACAGTCCTGTCGATGTCCATAGAAATGAACTGACGTTGATGGTGAACTGCGTACCGTTCTGGAGTGTGCATTAGTTGACAATGTTCAACGTGTGGCAGAGCGATTTGTCCATAAAGAATGTAACACTGACACTAGGTAGTTGAAGGTGAGTGCTCTAAAGGTCTGGAAAAATGTACTTTCAAAATGCTTACACACGTAACCTAGACAATGGTGTACTCTTGTAGTGGATACAACACAAAGACACCCGGCTGACTCACCATCCAGTTTAATTTGTTACTTTTTAGGAATTGAACAACGTCATGAGCCACTTGTTACCCTTTTGGTTCACCATCTTCGCAATTGGCCAACTTCGTGGTGCCAATGGTGTTTATATTAGTTGGAGAAAGACGTGTCGATTATTCCACTCTGCGCACTGTTTCCCCACTCCATAACTTTTCACTTGTGCTGACATGGAACGAACACTTCTCGATCCCCATTTGGAGTTGACCTATGGTCGTTTCAGCATTTGTACTTACTTTGCTCTACGTCATATACGGCCGCGCTCATAAGTCTTGTACCTAGCTGAGGTGTTTTAACGTTTTGTTCTGAGTACTGATCAGTCAGTCCTGATCTATTGTCAGAAGGATTGTAGGCAGCACTATCGACAGAAGTGACCATAGTTTGATTCTTTCGTAAATTCTGTCTTTTTACACTTGAACGTATGGTACCCACCTTTGCGACAAACCTGAGCACCGAAACTTTCCTAGGTTGAAATTCGGTGCTTCACTCTGTCGGCAGTTTCAGTGATCCTCGAATGCGGTAAGCCTAATGGGTTCAGAGAATATAGTCACTTCTGTGAGGCTTTTACCCTTGATTTGTTTACTTAAAGGGAAAATAAGCACATGTTTGACCTTTCCATACAAGAAAGACGTGACGGCTACATCGATTTCACGATAAAAGAACAATTTTTCAGAATCAGCCTGTTCATTGACGCAAAATTAGAAGTGCACGAAAATTATTAGGGTCAATCTGTCTTGCATGCATACAAAGCCACATATGCTCGTACAAATTTCGTATATACTTTCTGGAACAAGGCGAAACAGTAGAAGGAGACAAGGCTCCTTCACTGTACATTAGAGTGTTCCAAGAGGTCAAAAAAATTCACTTCAGGCTATGTCAGATAAGGCTGCCTCCCTAGAGAGTACCCTCAGAGTAGACTGATTATGTTTGCTTCTTTTCAGCAGCTATCTCATCCTTGACAGAGAAGAATTCTCACAACAGAAGGACTCTGGTTGGTAGCCCATCTCTCGGCAGATATCTGCACATCTTGTTTTCCATCATAATTGAATGACTACTTATAAAATTTATAGCGATGTTCTACACATATCAGTTGACTGATTTTGAACACTTTTAGACACATCAAACACTAGATAAGCCGAGTAGCCACATGGATACTATGCAACAACTTAAAAGGTAGGAAAGGCCACCAAAGTTTTTGGAGAATGCATCCTTTTATGCACAAATCATATGCATAAGGATGGACCGAAATAATAAGCAAGTCGCCTGGTACTAAAGGCGGGTGACAAAAAATAAACAACGGTAAAATAGCCCCATTTTCGACTTAATTCTATTTTGTCGGGAACCACAGGTGAATCTCTTTTTTATGGTATTATTCAATTGCATGTGTTGCGCAAAGGTCGCATCACGCATCAGCTAATACGAGATTTGAGATGTCGCATTAAATTTGTTCGAAGGGACACTACTCTTAAGATTGCTGAAGGCTGACCATTCAGTTAAGACATTCAGAAAATGCAGGGCAGCTGGATAAATACAGCGTGTTTAGCCGCCTCACTTTAGGCTGCAAGCGATTATGTATCCCTCGTACGTATCCCCTGTAAAGAGGCTTTTCCGGGTTTCCCAGGAACCCGAGGCAGTGGCTCGGACCTCCCAAATTAGACCAGTCGAGATAAACTGATCGCGTGTCTGTGCTGTAACGAACCCATGAATGATGTCGTTACCCAACTCCCACCTCCCACCTCCCTGATAACGCGTTCAAACATGGTCCGTCAGCTGGCTGCGATATTGATTACCCGCACTGAAGGTCACTCTGTTATCCATTCGCTCGTGAGGTATCAGCTAGCTCAGGATTCTGCTAAATTCACGGTACTGACGCAGCTACCACAATCGAAACAGACCTGGTATGCTAGCGAGAATTTTCAATCGCGTCTCATTGTCTGAGAAGGGAAGTAGTTCATTTGAACCCTATGTTTTGCACAGATGATCGTCAAAATCAGCCGATTTAGGGTCAACTACTGATTCAAAGTTATACGGATCCAGAAGATATTTATGGGTTGGGTGATATACTGATTTTATACGGACTAAACCATCGATTTTTTGTTTAGTTAAGTTAGCCCAGCTTATCTTCAACTAATCGCCTAGTATAGGTCTCACTGAACTGCATTCATCTGCCTGGATGTCCAGAACAGTTTTTTCAATTACTCTTGATTTTATCCCCAACTTAATGGAGTGTATTTAAAATAGACCTTATTAAGTGGCTTTTTATTGTACCGAGTATTTTTTGACAGGAGTGTACTTTCTGAAAGACCCGAGGAATAAATTGTGCAGTAAATAGTATGTGTCATGGGAAAACACAAACGTTTTAGAATGAAGTCTAAAACACATGTCTTACAAAATACCAACTCACTGCCAATTGTGACCTTCTGATCCTCGAGTATGAACCGTCGACGGAGAATGACCAGCATAAGGCAAAGCAGTAAGACTAGGATAACCATGGCTACCACTAGACCCACAATCGCAGACCAATGAGAAGATCCAGACAAAAAGTGAACAGACGAATCCGGGTTGGATACGGAAGACTTGCGTTGAAACCGCCTTTCATAACCGGACTGTTGTCTGCTTGACCAGGTATTAGAATCAGAAACCTTGTCTGCAAGAGTGATTCGATCGTGTGGGTGGCTGTCCAGCCCATTCGCAGCCGATAAGGGGTACATGTCACTCTGCTCTGTTGGATGAATATGAATGGTGAGTAGTGCTGTTGAGGATTGAGGAGGACTACCTCTATCTTTGGCTTGTATCAAAAGGCGTACGTCTGCCGGTCTGCTACAGTCTTCTATTGGATGGATGAGGAAAATTTGTCCATTGTAGCTGTTGATCTCAAAATTATCGGTCGTTGGTCCTCTAACGATAGTACTTGGTATCGGTGAGGAATGAAATTGCCTCCTGTTGGCAACTGATCGACTGGAAGAGCTGATAGGTGGTGGCGAAGATGGATTTCGATCCTTTGTTTCGTTGGACTTGCTTGGTTCATTCGAGAATTTGACGTCTCTTTTGGAGGAAGCCTGACTACCGGAATCCGAATCATTTCGTACTTTGACGATGGCTGGCTCAGGCTCTCGTTTTGGTCTGTTGTTTATTGAGATATCGCGGATGATGCTATATTCGATCTCACCATTTTGACCACTGTCAGAGTCGTTTGCGTGCACGCGAGCGATTATCTGATTGCTCAGTTGTGCACAAGAAACATTAAGTACGCTGCCAGGACCGTGTGGGATTGGGTAACGAAATTGTGGCGCGTGGTCATTCACATCGGATACTGCGATATGAATAATAGTCGTGGCACGCCTTGGTGGGTCACCTCCGTCTTCAGCCACAATAGCCAGTTCGTAGGAATCTTGTTGCTCTCGGTCAAGTAAAGTAAATGAAGATTTTGTGAAATCCGGTTTTACTAAATTGATAACATCCGATCGGGCTGACCGGACCGTTAATTTGCCAGTATTTTTGTTAATTTCAAATTCCTTGCTTGGTTGTCGAAGAGAGTAGTATACCTGGAACATCAGAAAAGTGATGCGGAAGCAGGTCACTGAGAGCTAGCGTTAGTGGACTCTATGAAGAATTCTTAGTAGAAAAAAAGAGGCAGACAACCAGATTACCAGTGGCCACGATACCGGCTTTTGTTAATTTATAGGACATGAAGACTGAAATATGGTTGTGGGGCTTAATTTTGATCTCTTCTGCGTGATTTCAAACCGATTCGACCCTGCCTCGTCATCCGGCGAGCGCTGGAAGTGTTCATTCTGTGGTAAAGTGCAAAATGATGCGTCCTCATAAATCCATTGTGACTTTTAGATAGAGTTCGAAGACTTCCATGCACTGCAGTGTACTCGATTAATTTTCCTGAATCAAAAATTCTCCTGGTTTCCTCCAACTGGTGAAGGTGCACGCAATTGAAATGGATTCATGCGAGTCAGCATTCAGTGCATAGAATATCTTACTATAGGTCGCATGGCTTTATTCCACATTACATTGCTACGAGGTACTGGCTTTTGGTTCGATGATATTGCAGATTGGGATACAAGTGGTTTTGTAAAACAGTGGGCCATCAGGGAGTTAGATGTAAAAAAAACTTTGAGGAGTCCTGGATCTTTATCGTAATATTTCTTTTGATATACACACAAGCTCGAAATCAAGGGCGTTGTGGGTTAGCACGGGAAATTAGCCATGTTCCTCTTTCCTGGTTTTCTCACTAGCCTGTCGGTACCACCCCTACAAAATTACCAGGCGGAGCTGCTGTTGTGATTCTGAGAACGCCCATTCATCAATTCATACAAAGCGAGGGAACGTGACTCAGTCAAACAGCCCCACTCACGCTAACTCACGACAAAAATTCATCAACTTCCGGTACACAACCCATGATCAATTGCGCCAGGTTACTTTGCGAGGTAACAATTAACCGACATCCAACCAACCATACGGTGCGTAAACATCTTGTTTACCGGATGAGCTGAACAGACGGTGCGCAAAATTAGCTGGTTTGTTGAAAAAAATCCGTCCGTCCTGCGATCACGTAGGTGTGCGTCTCACTATCCTCGGCATTGACCTTCCATCACCGAAACGGGTGGTTTGAAATAAAGTGCAGCACATGATCCAAGGCAAATAAAATCCCGGATTGGGTCAGACGATGCACAGCATGAGGTCTACGTAGGTTTTAAGCTAATGCATTACCGGGGCTTCGAGTGCACATACATTTGCAAACAACTGCTGCACCATAACTTTTCAAACACAGCGGTAATAGGCCCGCACATGCACAAGGACACGTTATGGGACTGCGGTAGGCTAAACCACGTGCGACCATTTTACCCGTATCCATAAATTCACCAGGCACCGTGCACAATCCATTTAGGTCCGTTTTGTTTTTGCTCCGATGCCTTTACATTCGCTATCTCCGTACACGCTAATTGTAACGTAGTTTTGTCCCCTTCGAATAGTTGAAACCACTTACTGCCTCGATAAATTTTATGTTCATGCCTATCCAACTGGATGCGAAGGTTTTGTGTATAAAGTACAATAATGTTGCTGTTGTTGCTGTTTTACGGTAGATTTACGGTGCTCGCTTTAGATACTCCCGAAGGTCCGAGCAAATTGCCTTACGAAGAAATATCCAGTATTCTCACAATTGGGAGAAAATGGCTCCTTGTGATTTGAGGCTTTCAAAGGATAGAAGGTCGTTCCATTTTTGAAAAAATTGTGACTGTATACAGACAGTTTCTGTTTGCGAATAAGTGGTACAGATATGCTAGAAGACGCCTGTGACACGCAGTAAGACATCCCGCTCGATCTGATCAAATGCCTTGTCTGCCAAGTCTCCGAGCTTCCTAGACTCGTATCCAGTGCCCTTGCATAAGAGACCAATAAACTTTCATCTCCATATGTCTGTGGCCAAAGAACACAACGTGCCTCGTTAGCAGCACTTTACACGTAACATGTCGCGCAGGGTATCAGTTCCGGTTAGGCCAGTTAAGTCTGCTGACAGGGGAGTTAAAATGATGGAGGTAGGTGGGAGGTTCCCGATGTGAACAAGTCACAAGTCACACAAGGTCCAAATTCTCCCGCAATTTTTATAAAATAATTAAGGAAGCAGAATGAGTCAGAAGTAACTTAGTGAAACATCCGATAGCCCGTAAATCTTGTTGTAGAATTATCAGTTTAGTCAATTCACATCTGTTTGAAACGACCTTAGACAGACTTCATATGAATTCACAAGAATCGATAGTGAGGTTGGTTGAACATATTTTATCTGAGGAAAAGATGAGATGGTGGCCATTGTTCAGACGAGAGTCATGTAAATGTACACTCTGTAAACCTCGCAACTACTAACAACTAAAGCAAAAAAGTGTCCAGCAGGCTTCAAGCGTTTATGGTTCTAACTGATTGGGAAGTCCCGACAGGCGGGTCAGTCGATCGGCGCAACAGAGGAATATCATTTGGTCATCGTTCGATACGTCAGGCTTTCCACTCACATCACTCAAATGTGAACATGTTCACCTGGTCTGATATAAATTTTCAGATGCGTCCAGTGTGCGCTGGTGAAGTAGTGGTAACCCCCTTTTTCTTCAAGTGGCAGCTTTGCGGAGTTCGTACCCTTGCATGGCCAAGGATGTACACTACTGATGAGCTCTAATAAGAGAGAAATTCAAGCTCAGTGCTTACCCCTTTTGGTGTGGGTTCACTAGAATGATTTCGCCAAGATACGAGGATGATTTTTCAAACGAGAGTCATGTGAGTATACATACTACAAACCCCGCAACCATAAACTAAAAACCAATATTTGTATTTTTGGCGCTGAATGTGATCTCCAAAGTTGACTGTCATTAAGTGACGGCATATCAGCTTTACAAGAGCGTTTGAGTTTGAAGACCTGCCGTTAAATTCAGTTCAATCCCGAACCGTTCACAAAAAGACTGGCCAGACCACAGCACACGTTCGAGAAAATACTACCAGAAATCTCTTCCACACTCGTCACGTCACATAGCTCGACATTCACAGCCTAAAAAAATACGAATTGTTACTGTTCTCATGCACAGTTATAGGCTTCATAGAGTTTTCTGATTAGTTCACTAAGGATTCCGCGTTTCAAGGTGACCACCAGGTGACCCTATTTTTCACTGACATTGTTTCACATCTGAAATCATCCTCAGTCTGCTAGGGAGTGCTTTGCTATGTCCAGTTCGGTGATGACAAACAAAAAACCACGCCATGGTGAGCATGTAACTCTACAGTCAAAGACTAGTCATCAGCTTGAGAAAGGGTCAAGCATGAAGATATGCTGCGACCAGTAAGCCAGAATGCCACGCAAATCTAGAATTTAACATTTAAACCTGTTCAGTTTATTGTGTTGTCAGACCATGGAGCTCAGGATGTAGGAAAGTAGCCTTATTGATGAACAACACCTCTGACCTCATCGGTTTGGTCCACAAAGGTACGGTGCTAAATTGCTTCAGGAAGCTCTCTGTGTGAAGGTCACGGGGGTTAGCTATATTCTTTCGCATAGTGCGAATACGCGAAATTTCTGTTCATTCAGACAGCAGCTGGGAACAGTTGAGTTATTTTATACTCGCGAGGCCAAATGGCGATGCATGCGTACACATGATTCAAACAAGTATTTACATAACCCGTCGAAAAATACCAAACAATTGTGTGGCTAATTTTGTTCACAAGTCTGTTCTAACCAACAGTAATGTAGTCAATTATTAAGCATGTTGGGCAACTAGGTATGGTTTCTACCTTGATAAGTCCGAAATTTGTTGATCAACCATTACAAAACTAAAACTAAAACAATTTTTATCGGTTCCTATATTATGCTAGCCAGTTTCACTCGGTCACAGGCCTACCAAAGGCTTTTTGGTACGGTCTATATTAAAATATAACTTGCAGCGCGACTCCTCACTACGGGACCGAAGATGGCAATTCTAGATAGTGGATAAGTATGAAGTTAGACTTAATGTTGCCTCTTGTGCCGTCCCCATCGGTTATGACCAAATGTTGTAAGTTTCTTCGGGATACGGACGCGTTTAAAGATGACTAAAGAAAAGTAAAAGCTTGCTTGGGACCTTAAACTTTAGTCCAATGTCATCTGTTTCAAAGCTGTCTCCAACAGTCGAGCCCCAAATTGTTTTCCGCTCATTCACCCATCGCTTACATACTCTTCCTCCATTTCCTAGCGTCAAACTTCTACTATGGAGACCGACCCTGAAAATCTCACGTCCTTATTTCCAATTGAGGCGGTTTAATAAATGCCAAGAAAAGGATAACGGCCTCAGTATGTGTCTATTTCCTAACTCTATTTCTAACACTCTTTTGGAAGACACCTGGTCGCTTCTCCACAAGGCATTTCTGAAATCAGATAGTCAAATCACTTGTCTCACCCACGGACGAGGTACTCTCTGTCTTCTGTGTTAGCTGATCTCAACATCAGCAGTCTTTCATTTTCGGAAGGTAGTAGCTATTTTGGGAAGGCTCATTTGCACAACCATGGAGACGCTGCTATAGATTTTTTCAAGGAAATGGCTTTGTTCAAAGTCGTCCATAAGAAGCAATTTCTTAATCTAGATTTCAATTTGTTCTCGCAAAAAAAAACAGATGGCGGAGAACAAAGCAACAGCAGACATGGGTCTGGTACAAGCTGAAGCTATGACTGACTTCATCCGGATCATTACGTAAACGAAAGTGATCACATGTACATTTTTTAATGCTGCGTATGGACACGAGCACCTGGGAACCCTCTAATTTGAATGGCAGTTAAGTCGGTAAGAACAGCAATCGCATAGCTTGTTGGCCAGTTCCATTCAGTTTTTTAGTGCCAGCCGATTTGGATCTATATCCAGTTCGTACCCGGACCATAAATCAGTAAAGAACTTAAGTCCAGCACGTGGTCAACGGGGACTCGAGGAATATGCCTACTTGCCGAGCAGCAATGACAAAAAAACCGGGCGTGGTCTGCCGAAGAATTTTCAGCGAGCTTGTGAGTAGTTGATTAAATTCAACTAAG